TGTTCTTGTAAGCTGCTCCGAGCCCCAGGGGAGTGGCAGCATATAAGTTTGAATTATAAATAAATAAATAAACCACTTGCATGACAACATTAAGACTGCTTTCAAAAATCAAGAAATTCCATATTTTAAGTGCCAATAATTTCAGGACTCCCTGTGAATGTGATGGTTTCACAGTTATCCTACATATCTACTAGGCTTGGGTAACCACGGAAAAATTTGGTTCTAAACTCGTTTTGTTTTTAGGGGGCCCTTGCATTTTGTTTTTTTAAATAATTCTGAAATTTTCCTTTTAAAAATTTCGAAATATACGAAACTTTGTATAATTACGAATCGATTCGTTAATGGCGAACGCGATTGCGCAATATGCTAAAAAAACCTCCAAATGGGACAGGGGGAACTTCTGAAGCTTCCCTCTCCCTCTGTTGTTGACTGTTGGTGTGATAAAACAAACAACAACTATAAAACTTGCACCAGACATACGGAAATAATTATGAAATAATTACAAAATAATTACGAAATAATTACAAAATAATTACGAAATAAATTGAAAAAAATGTTTCGAATCTAATTTACTCCTCACACTATTCCTGCATGGCTCAATATTGGATCATAAGCTAATTTAAATACGAATTAATAATGAATTACGAAATTAACGAACGAAACTGCCCAAGCCTAATATCTACATTCCTTCACTATGGCTCATTTGCCTGTTTATAAATAACTAATTTTACTATAGACTGTCACTGATATTCTATATGCCATTTCATATAGGATAGATTAATTATTAATGGCTGAAAAATAAATGATGCTTCATCTTTTATCAGATGTCACTGGAAATAGACTAAAGGGATACTTTACAGTCAACCTTTCCGACGGTCTTGCCAATGTCGTCTGTGGAAACTCCAAGGTTAACTTGCTATAGAAACTGATTTCTTGTAGAGATACATTTTAGTGACATTTCTACATGTTTCTTGATTCTAAAACTGTGTATAAGTGAAATTGGGAAAATGAAAAACACCAGCTTTAAAAAAAAATATCTGTGGAATATGCAGCACTCCAAATGTTGTCAGATCACAGTTTTAATCACCCATCGCATTAGCTATACTTGCTACAAACTGGGATGACAACTCATTGTTTGGGTTTTCTCTTTTAAAAAAGCTACCAAAGATATTTCACAAAACTCACATCACTATCAGTATTTTGCTAATATAAGATTTGGCATTTTGCAAACTGAGATTTAAGACACTGACAAATAAACACTGAAATCTTCAACAAGAGGGATGAGATTAATTCAAGACATTCAATGTGAACAGGAGCCATTTTATATACAACTAGCGGTCCCCTGCCACGCGTTGCTGTGGCCCAGTCTGGTGATCTAGAAAATAAAGTAATGAGAAGGTGTTGGTTTCTAATATATGTAATGTCTTTATGCTTGTGGGTAAACAGTATTTCTTGCTGTTTGGGTCCCTTTCAAATCTTTGATACTGCATCTGTCATATACATATATGTGGTAGTGAATGGCTGGATGGCCCTTTGTCAGGAGGACTTGATTATGTTTTTTTGCCCCGGTGAAGGGAGTTGGACTAGATGGTCTTAAGGCAGCATTTCTCATCATGGGGTTTGGGACCCCTGGGAGGGGGGTGCAGGGGGTGTCAGAAGGGGTCGCCAAAGACCATCAGAAAACACAGTATTTTTGTTGGTCATGGGGTTCTGTGTGGGAAGTTTGCAATTCTGTCATTGGGGGGTTCAGAATGCTCTGTGATTGTGGGTGAACTATAAATCCCAGTAACTACAACTCCCAAATGTCAAGGTCTATTTCCCCACATACTCCACTTGTGTTCACATTTGGGCATATTAAGTATTGTGCCAAGTTTGGTCCAGATCCATCATTGTTTGAGTCCACAGTGCTCTCTGGATGTATGTGAACTACAACTCCAAAACTCAAGGTCAATGCCCACCAAACCCTTCTAGTATTTTCTGTTGGTCATGGGAGTTCTGTGTGCCAAGTTTGGTTCAATTCCATCGTCGATGGAGTTCAGAATGCTCTTTGATTGTAGTTGAACTATAAATCCCAGGAACTACAACTCCCAAATGACAAAATAATAACTTTTTAAGTGATGGTCACTCCTTGTGTTGTGAGACATTTTGTTGCCAAATTTGGTGTGATTTCGTTCATTGGTTCTTTTTGTTTTTAAGGAACTCATTATGCACAGAGCATGCATATATATATATATATTTGCTACATTTATATCCTGTGGATGATACCAGGGGCGGCTCAACCCATTACGCAAAGTAAGCATTTGCAGTATAGTTGATTTTGCCCAGGGGCACTCTTGAGGTGCTCTTGGGGGAAATAGACCTTGACATATGCGAGTTGTAGTTACTGGGATGTATAGTTCACCTACAATCAAAGAGCATTCTGAACTCCACCAATGATGGAATTGAACCAAATATGGCACACAGAACTCCCATGACGAACAGAAAATATATATCAGTGATTGGTTGTGGGGGGGGGGGGGCAAAATACTGTTTGCTTACCGTTGAAAATTACCTAGGGCCGCCTCTTTCCCACACCTAACACCACTTTTTTTTAAAGCTAGGACTATATCACTTTTCTGAGACCAGATGTGCAAAACTCTACATACTCAAAATCACATCAAAGGTAAAAGATATTTTTTAAAGTATGTATACATTCACGTATTTCAACTACTTTGGTTCTGTTTGACATTCGTGTTCATCATAAAAGCTAAGGACTTAATCTAGAAGCAAAACATAACCAGCACAAACTCATTTAAAATATGAATTTTGAAATGTGCTTTCTTAATTATACTTTCAGTTGGCTATGCCTCTTCTGTTCTAATTTCTAACATTTGATAATGCACTCTTCTTCTGCTCTTGGGGAAAATTGTTATAAAGAATTTCTTACTATCATTGCAGCATACAGGAATTGTTACTGTACCTCTCTGTAATTCTCATTGACTCGGTCTAAGCTGAGAGAATACACCAGGTTCTTTCCTCCCACAAAGAGTCGATCTTGATACTCATCCAGAAGCATTACATGAAGACCAAGGTATCCAGACGGGCTATGAAAGACTGATGTTCTGTTCAAATCCCAGAGCTCTGAAATAAAACCAGAGTATGCATTATAAATATTGAACAGCCTTATGTTCATGACGCCACGTTCATCTTCTCCTGGGAAATTAGGGAAATGGTTCTGGGATATTAAGATCTTCTCTGTTTTTAACTTTGTGGAACATGTGGGGATCATTTTCAAATCTCTTTAGTTTGCAAGAAAAAGACTGGGCGTAGTTCTTTTCCATTTAATCCTTCTGCTCAATATGTCATAGACACACAAAATGGGTGACCTTCTTGTATTTCAAGACAGAGAAAGTGGTATTTATGAAAAGAAGTATAACGGAGGAAAAAGAATAAATGAATGGGAAACTATCTTTATTTTTCAGGACTGTACATATATGTATATTATTTATTTATTTATTTACTTCATTTATATACCGCTTTTCTCAGCCCTCAGGCGACTCAAAGCGGTTAACAACAGCAAAATTAAATAGCAAAACATCATAAACGATTATGGGACAGTTAAAACAATAGCATCATCAACAATTAAACATCAATGTAACAATCATTAGCGTCTCATCAGTAATATCAGAATCCAATCTCATCATCCGTTAATCCGTGTTCCTATATTCATTACACTGCTTAATCGAATGCTTGTTCGAACAGCCAGGTCTTCACTTTCCTCCGAAACGCCAATAGGGAGGGGGCCGATCTGATATCTATAGGAAGGGCATTCCACAGCTGAGGAGCCACCACTGAGAAGGCCCTGTCTCTCATCCCTGCTAGGTGCGCCTGTGATGCAGGCAGGATTGAGAGCAGGGCCTCCCCAGATGATCTTAATGTCCTAGTTGGTTCATAGGAGGAGATGCGTTCGGAGAGGTAAGTAGGGCCAGAACCGTTTAGGGCTTTATAGGCTAACGCCAGCACTTTGAATTGTGCCTGGTAGCAAACTGGCAGCCAGTGGAGCTGGCACAGAGGAGTTGTATGCTCCCTGTATGCCGCTCCTGTTTGCAACCTGGCTGCCGAACGTTGGACCATTTGAAGCTTCCGAGCAGTCTTCAAAGGCAACCCCAATGCACGTAGAGAGCATTGCAGTAGTCTATACGGGATGTATATATGGGTCTGGCTCCATTAGGACTAGAAGCATGTTCTTTTAAGACTTCAGATTCTTACAAGTTTGAATTCAATGGCTTCTAGATGAATGGATTCTGAGCACAATTTATTTGCCACCGCTTCAGAACTGAAATGATAGCTTCTGTGATTATATGTGCCATTTCAATTTAGTAGAACAACAATTGCCACAACCAAAGATGTCAGAATATATTCATTCAGTTTTAAGGTTACAAAATATGTCTACTTCTGCCTCTTCTTTGATCAAACTCCAGCTAAAGCAAACACACACACAAAAAAATCAAAATAAGACTATATGTTAAACTCTTTGGCATGTGACTTCTAAACATTTAAAAGACATTTTAAAAATGGAGTTGCATGGAACACATCAAATGACACAAGAGCACGTCTCTCAGTTGCCCATGGTACTCTGTTTCTAAAGTGTGTAGAAATTGTGGTTTTGTTCAATTGATTCAAGAGCTCCCCATTCCCAAAGAAATGGCTAAAGGCACTTATTTTAAGGTGGGACGGAAATTGTTGGATGTCTCTGTTTTAGATAATTTGCTGATCTTTTGCAGAACAACATTACAATCCTGGACACTAATCAAAATAAAATATATAGTCTTTGGATCAATCTGGGATACATTCCCAGGAGGACTACAGTTACCTGAAACAATGGATATGATTCAACATCATTAATGTACCTGATATCCAGTTCCAGATGTTGGGATTGTGGTATACAGTTTAATAAAAATGTTGGAAGGAAGGAAAGACGTAGGGAAGGATGGAAAGAGGGAAGGAAGGAGTGAAGAAAGGAAGAAAAAAAGAGGTAGAGAAGGAAGGAAGAAGTGAAAGGAAAAAAAAGGGAAAGAAAAGGAGAGGGGTAAGGAAGGAAAGAGGTAGAGAAGGAAGACACCAGGCTGAGGCCACAGCAAAGCCTGGCTGGGTACAGCTAGTAGTAGTAGTACTACTAGTAGTAGTAGTAATAAACTTTTTTGTAACCCACCCTATCTCCTTGGGGGACGAGACCCAAGGCAGTTTCCAGAACAAAAGTGGCAAACATTCAATTTTGGACAGAGCTCCTTAACATAGCCTTGCCCCTCATTAACCCAAGTAGGAGGATTCAGACTATTTTCTAACTTTGTGAATAGTTGAGCCAGTTCCAGATGGAAACAGCTACAATTTTTCACACTGCCATTCTGTGATTCCCAGGCTCATTTAGGCCAGAGATATGGGGTGGCAGTTATCATACTCTCCCGTTCTCTCTATCATCATAGCAGTTTATGGTTGTGACATGGTGTCTCCTAGTTGACCATTGCCTGTAGGAGTATCAGCCAGGGTGACAAAAAGATCAGGGAATGGAGCACGGGTGGGGATGGGATGATTTATTCCCTTCTCTCCTCCCCTTCCCCTAGTCCCTCATCACCATGTCATCTTGCCCAACATCATTGTAAGCAATGGCTGACCAGTTAGTCCTGTATCATGGCTGGAGACTACCACATCATGAAAAATGGAAGGGGACCGTAAGGGTGGGTTTGTCACTGAACTGAGTTCAGCACTGCTGGGTGGTTGGTACTTCCTTTCACCTCTGCAGCAGGTGTGACCCATCCTGGAGTTGGTGTACACCACACTGAGTCATTCCCAGGGCAGAGGGCAGGTGTAGATCCATTATCTGTGTGTTTTTTCATGTCCCTGACCCAGGAGGACAGAAAATATCAGAGAGTGCCAGCTGGCAGCAGATGCAAATGTGTTGCAAGCAAGGTCTAAATTTGGTAGAGGTGGGATGGCTAGCATCCTATTCTAGCCTAGGTTTCTAAACTGGAAATCATGCTCTAAATTCTCTATTTCTGAGCACCACTGTTCATATACATTCTCATGTAATCTATTTCTATTGTGGAATTACATTCTCCTTTTTCATATGCTTTCTAATTAATATTTTGTTCCTCATTAATATCTTTTACCATTTGGATGACACTCTAATATTGCTTGTTTCCCAGTTTTCATTTGTGTGATATTAGTTACTATGAACTTATTGCCTTGGCCTGAGATTGTATACCCTGTTTGCTCAAACAAAGCTAAAATCCCAGAATAAGGACCAAACTTGTGAGTTGACAACCCTGTTTCCATGCAATAAGGTATATTTGGCTAGACAGAAATATGGGAAATCAATTTCAACAATTTCAGCTATTGTTCTGATCTTCTGAAAAGCAAAGAGCACAATAAATTGCATAGTAATTACATTCCTGTAAAAGTAAACCAATTTTTAAATGAAAATACTTTGAAAGCAATTTTCTCATATACATTAAAATTTTTAAGTTTTTGGGTGTGCCATGTTAATGCTTCAAAATGGCTTCCAGGTTACAAAACTTATGATTTTTTTACAATTTCCAATTTTTATGATATTTTTGCACATGCCTAATAAATAGGGCTGGGCGGTTTCGTTCGTTAATTTCGTAATTCGTTATTAATTCGTTATTTTTTTATAACGAAGCGATATTGAACCATTCAGGAGCAACTGAATTTTGAAACGAATTTTTAAAATTTATTTCGTAATTGTTTCGAAATTGTTTCGAAATTGTTTCGTTATTATTTCTGTATGTCTGGTGCAAGTTTTATAGTTGTTGTTTGTTTTATCAGTGATAAAAAAATAAATTATCACACCAACAGTCAACAACAGAGGGAGAGAGAAGCTTCAGAAGTTCCCCCTGTCCCATTTGGAGGGTTTTTTAGCGTATTGCGCAATCGCGTCCGCCATTAACGAATCGATTCGTTATTGTTTCGAAATTGTTTCGTAATTTCCGAAATTTCGTAAATATCGAACTTTTTTTAAGAAAAATTTCGGAATTCTTTTAAATAACGAAACGCAAAAACCGCCTAAAAACGAATCGAGTTTAGAAACAAATTTTTCCGTGGTTGGACAGCCCTACTAATAAATACATACACTCAAATTGACACACAGACATTGTTCTGTCGCGCACTGGGCTTGAAATGAATTGCTGTTAAAACAGGACGTGCAACTTTAGCCCAGTGGGAAGCCAGGGGGCCCGAAGAGAAATTCGTAAGGATTTTCACCATAAACAGTCTCTAGAGGGCTTGTAAAATATAACAAAGTCTTTTATTGGTGAACAATCAACAGAAACTTCTTTTGTCTTCAAAAGGTTAAACAAATTCTTCCAGGCTTTGTGCAACTGGTGGCTTCTAACTGTTGCTTTTACTCTAAAGGAAAATCCCTTTCCAAACTTCTCCCAGGCTAACTGTGATCCTAAACCTAACTGATGTGGATCCACTACCGGGCTGAACTGCGTCTCAAAACCGAGTGGACCTACCAGTAGGCCTGTAGTCACTTAGCTGGAGTTCTTGATGTTTAAAGCTGTTATTCCCTCCGAAATTCCTCAGGGCTGTAAGGCTGTTTCCCTGGAACCTTTGGGAATCTTTAGATGCTCTTAAGACTGTTCTCCCCCGGGAAGTCTTAAGGGTTGAAGCCTTTGTACAGGAGACAGTCTGTACACATCCTGCACATTGACTTTCTTTGCTGAGACTGACTGAAAATGGCTCCCTTCCCTTCACAATTGTCCTGAACAGAGGGCGGAACCAAACTTAACGATGATGGACAGGGGGCCTGCCCTATAACTGCAAACTTTAACAGGAAGCCACCCTTCTGCAGAATCCCAAGCCTTGGGCTGCAAGCAAACACTTAATACAAGGCAAATAAAGTGGGAGCTTCTGGTACAGCTGTACCAGCACAGACATGGACACACACATAATAATTGGTGTATCATAGTGATTGAGGGTTAAAATATTATTTATTTATTTATTTATTTATTTAGGGCTTTTATATCCCGTCCTTTCTCAACCTCCACAGAGGGACTCAGGATGGCTAACAAAGTGGCACCCCATGGCGCCAACATCAAAACGTAAATATACAATTAACAGCA